ATAAAACTTATACCGGAACTAAAGATCTCCGTTTTACAGGCCAGAGTAAAAGATGCAATTAAATGCATGAGTAAGGCAATGCTCAATGCCGTTCCCATTGTTGAAGCCTTAAGCGATGAAGAGAATCGTAAACAGCTCGTGGACGTACGTGACTTCAACTCCTACACATGCTATATCTATGTCGATTAATCTTGTGTGTTTGATGGTGCAGGGGAAACATCGGAGAGTGGTGGGGACGTTCTCGGCGAGTGATCTAAAGGGATGTCACTTAGCCACGTTGCGTTCTTGGTTGCCGTTAAATGCACTGGAGTTCGTCGAGAAAATCCCAAGAACCCCCTTGTTCGCCCCTGACACGTCAACACCTGGGAGGGAGCTCGTGACGTGTCACGTGAGTTTCACGTTGGACCAAGTGATCCGTATGGTCACCACGAAACGTGTACACAGAGTTTGGGTAGTAGACCATAACGATAAGCTACAAGGCCTTGTTTCTCTTACTGACATTATCGGCGCAGTCCGATTCGCTTTGCTATCCAGTGGTCCGGATGATCTATAACTCCAAATTTCGTCAACTTTTCTATTTCATTTTAGCAAAATTTCTTATATTTGTTGTTTTTATAAACTTTCACACTTTGGAAAAAAGAAAAAAACTTTCACACTTTCATTTCCTTTTTTAATGTACTCCTTTCATCATATCGAATGTTTATTTTTAGCCAATAAGAAACATGTTGAGAGAAATGATATTAGTTTGGATAATTGAAAATTTATCAAAACTAGGTATGACGAGTCTTGTTGCTTGACAGAGACTCTATCGATAGACAAGACTTGCCATCATTTGGGATTTCTATACAAATACACTTTATACACACACACATATTAAAAATTATACTATATGGAACAAAAACAATCATACGAATTAAGAAAATATTGATTTAACATTTAGACCAAAAAAAAAAAGAATTAAGAAAATATTGAAAGGGTAGTAACTAATTCATGAATAGGGTACTCGAGCACGGGGCGCAAACAAGCATGGCATATACGAATGAGACAATTTTGGGTTTTTGTAAATAATCATAATATAATCACTAGTTTTAATCGGTAATATAACCTTAAAAAGCCTCTACTCATTATGCGCTCCACTTTACTACTTACTCTGATGATAGCATGAAAAGTATTAATTTACATTTGTTTGTTCCGTTTACAAGCACGCCCTTTCTTCTTTTCCACTATTTCTATTTGCATTTTCTCGATAATGCGACTCCGATTACAATTGGTATTGTATAGCTAGCTTAGCTACTAGTATATGTTTATGATTTTACACCTAGCTCGAAATAATTACTTATGAGCACGCTTTTTGTGCTCTAATATCATTCCCCGTTAATTACCGCTACTGTCTATAATTATATACTTTTTGGTTCCACGGAGACTAATTAAGAAGGATGATTAGAGGCTTGTTATACGTGCCATATTGCTTTGTTTATATGTCATGGATCATATATAGCGATGCAATGTACCCAAAATTATGAGAAATAATAGAGGAGCTAGTTAGAATTTAGCTGTAAAAATACTCACTTTGGTTGAGATTTATAATGGAACAATGTAACATATTTTGTGTGACAAAACATATTGGTCCGGATTCAATGATTTTGTCCTTCTTTCAGGCTTAAAGTCTGAAATATTGTGCGAACCATTTATAATAAACATGTTTTACCGACATTTCCTGTCAAATTTAATTTAACTATACTGACATAACAAAAGGACTTCTCATATTGGTGTCTAACTATTGATAAATATGTTCTTTCTTCGGGGAAACAAATTCTGAATTCAGGCATGTTTCTGTGTTGTGTTTGTGTTTCTTGTACTCTTGTGTAGTTTTTTTTTTTAATAAGAGATAAATATACATGTACTAAAATGATGGAGAAAGAGAAAAGCCTTTTATAGAAATAGAGTAAGGATGGATTGAAATTGAAGCATAGAGAATAGCGAACACTCACTGCAAAGTGAGTGGGAAAGTCGCGCGTCATACGAGGGAGCAACAAAGTGTGGGCCTTTCTTTTTCCAGTCTCAGAAACTAATGCATGCTTAATTTTCATATAATAGTATTTTTTTGTTTGTCGTAATAATTACTTTTTTGGGATAATATTCTATTTTTATTATCTCGTAGTGGATTATGCTATAATTAATCTATATACATAACTTATTTGGTTTTAACTTGATAAAAGTTAGAAAAAAACATTAATTGAATTTATCAGACCTAGAGACACATAATGTTTTGGTCAAATTCTTGAATTAGGGCAGATATATATCTTGACAAATGCTATATATATGTAGAGGCTGCGGGAGGTTGTAACCTGGTCAGACCGGTTGCAGGTGGTTTGTCGGGAGGAAGAACGCCGCTATTGGCAGTGTCACGCCGGTTAACCGGCAGGCGGCTGTAACCGGTCACTGACTCACAAAGTCACAAGTACACTTGTACAGTGTTATCAGGTTTGCTTTTCTCGTGACGGTCCCGTTTATTCCCCACACTCTCCTCGATTTTTACCCCATCCCCTTTCTTCCACTAACCCTCATTTCACACGCGCGTGAAATTAAATTTATACTTCACACTCAAATATAATAAAAAGAAACTGTTGATCACGCTAAAAGTGGGAAAAAGGTAACCTGTCGACTCTTAGAAATTTGAATACAAGTGGGTCACCTCACGGTCCTTACCTCAACTTACAATTATAAATACCTCTCATATTGTCTCAAAGGCGAATCATAAGTGCTTAAAGCTAGGAGTTTGGAGCAAGACCGGTTTGATAAACTTAAAGAGATCGGGGAATATTGTACCGGACAAGACGGGTGTGCCATTGTGGATGTTGGGGTTGGGTGTGGACCGGCTTCAAGCCGACATCAACCGCCTTCTAACCTCCCTTTTTCACCAGGGAGTCTTGGACGAGCAGTTCTTGCAGCTTCAACAGCTTCAAGATGACACTTCACCTACCTTTGTTTACGATGTTATTAATATTTACTTTGACGAATCCGACAAATTACTCCGTAACCTCAGATTATTGCTGTGAGTTGTTTCATCTAGCTACCTATATGTATAATATAATATCTTTCTTCTTTCCTTTTATGCATATATATTGTGTTATGATTAGGTTTTAACATAAATGTGTACATGAATGAATTGACTAGGATGGATAGAGAATTTTCGGACTACAAGAAGATAGGATTGCATCTGAATCAATTGGTGGGAAGCAGTTCGAGCATTGGTGCTCGTAGGGTTCGTAACGTTTGTGTTGCCTTTCGGTCTGCTTCCGAGCTTAGCAACCGTCCAGGGTACAAAATTATTCACTATCTCTTTGTATCTCCTATATATATATTTACTTGAGAAAATTAATGTGTGAATAAATACATAACGCTTTGTAAAAAAGAAATTATCATGATGCTTCAGGTGCTTGAGAGGACTGGAGGTAGTCGAGCACGAGTATCATTACCTCAAGAACATGATGCATGAAATCTTCCAGGTATACATGCTTTAGTTAATTAAATTCATACAACATTTCATATGATTTAAAATCAAGA